AATATTAGGTATAAAATACATAATTAAGTTGCGACATTTCATTAAGTATTATTATTGTAAGAACAGTTAATAAAAAAATTGCACAATAAAATCACTTATAGCAGGGAATAACAACAATGTTTATAGTTGAATCATAATTTAGAATGAGATTTTGGAGGTGAAGGATTATGGTTTGGTAATTATATATACTTGGAGTTATATTGTAACTATAAAAATATTAGGTATAAAATAGAATATATGTATGTATATATATATATATATATATATATATATATATATATATATATATATATATATATATATATATATATATATATATATATATATATAGGCCAGGCCTGTAGGCCTGAAGGCCGAGCCTGGTATATATAGGTCTGGCCTATTTAGTTTAATAGGCTTTGAAATTGGCTCAAGCCTGACTTTTTTACTAAACGAGCTAGGCCTAACTAGGCTTTGATTAGGCCAGGATATAGGCCCCTACAAGGGGCCTGGCCTATTCCCATCCCTAAGCCCATCTAATTAATAAATAAATACATATTAACTTTTTTTTATATATGTTTATAAAAATGGAATACCCTATTACATCAAATAGGATCGGGGCTCAAACCTATCACCTCCCACCTCCTACCTCCTACCTCCTACATAGGAGAACAACATAATATGATTAGACTACAAGATCATTAATATAAAAAATAATAATTAATTAATAATTATTGAACTCTCAACATAATAATATATAACACGTGGGAATATATTAACTTGCCTTAAAAAGTTAACTAGAACTAATATAACTCATTAATATTAGTATCAACTATGATTTTTAGATGTTAATTATTATTTATGAATGTTATAGCATGATATGAATTAAATATCTTTACTATCTTGTTAAATTTAATTGTGAATTTTAAAAATTAATATTTTATTTTAAAATAACAGGGACCCCGAGATTAGCTATGTATTGTATTACTCAAAGACAATATAAGCAGTACCCATTGTTTGACAAAAACAGTCACAATGACTAATATGGCAAATTATTATGTGGACCATGGTCACACAATGTTACGTGGACCATAATAAAAATACATTATTTTTTACTGAATGTACATTATATAATATAATGTATACTTGGTACAAAAATAATGAACATCCCCTAAATATAATGTACATTATTTTTGTACTGAATGTACATTATTTTTATATTGAATGTACATTATTTTACAGTATACAAAAGATGATCCACACAACTTGTGTAGACCATGGTCCACACAATAATGATTGGACTAATATAATACATAACTACCTGAATGACCCTTTTCTTTTCGATTTGAGTATGTCATAATCCAATTGGTCCACACAAGTTGTATGAACCGTATTTTGTAATTTGTATAGTGTAAAATAATGTATATTCAGTACAAAAATAATGTACATTGTATTTAAGAAATATACATTATTTTTGTACTATATGTACATTACATATACATTTAATATATTAAAAATGTACTTTTTATTATAGTATACATAACAATGTGTGGACCAGTAATTTGCCGTCATCATCCTTGAAATTTTTCTAGATGAGGGCTCATTAGGTTCATGGGTTCTTTTCTTTTTGGGCCTACCAATCATTTTCCGTAGTACAAGGGCCAAGATTTCCTCATTGTTAGTTCTAAGCCAGCTTAACTTCTCATTCAATGGTTAAATTGTATAGTTGTAAATCCTTTTTGTTCACTTCCTTAGAGTAGCATGCATGAATAAAATGCTTTAGATCTTGACCTTTATCGGAAATGGCACACAGAGCATGTGGATAGGGCGACTGTTAACGAACCAAACATGCATAAACGAACGAAGGTTGTTCGTGTTCGTTTGTTAAGATTTTTGGAATGTTCGTCTTCATGTTTGTTTGTTAAGCTTTCTTTAGTGTCCATTAACGTTTGCGAACACGTTCATTACCATGTTCGTTAATGAACACGTTTACGAACATATTCATTCACTTAATAACCAAACACATGCACGTGTTCATGAACAAAAAAAAATAATCTATGTTCATAAATAATAACCAAACAAACAACAAAACTATATATATATATATATATATATATATATATATATATATATATATATATATATATATATATATATATGTATGTATGTATGTATATGTATGTATGTATGTATATGTTTAATTGCTTGTTCATGAACATGTACGTAAACATTATTAAACGAACATAAACGAGCTTGTTCATGAGGTCTTAGCAAATGAGCCTATAATTATATTGTTCAGGCTTTGTTCGTTTATGAACCAGGCAAATGAACTCTAAAATTTGTTTATTTATGTCTGTTTACCTTAATAAACGAACTCTTACCGAACACATAATTTATCAAAAGCTCTATTCGCTAACACTCTTACATGTAGACAATATAGAAATGAGATCCCAAGATCTATAAGAGTAACTTTTTCCTCCTAACTTCACCTTGAATTATGTCTTCCTTTCTTGATCTTGTATCCATCATCTTTGTTGAAATCTACATTCCACGCAACACTCTCAAGTATCTTATCATTCAACTTAGCTCAAAAGTCGTCATGCAATTTTTTAACGCTTTAATTTGCTTATATCTTGCAACCCTGGCCTTGTCATAATCTTCACCCTAATGTCTTCTAACATGCATCTTGATAATTAATTTAATTTGGATCTTGATTTGAGGATTGTTCCATAAAATGCCTCACATATTATCGTCAACAACATCACATTTCACTTCTACTCTCATAAGCCTTTGATCAAAATTTGTCAAGATACTTGGGTAAATAATGAGCTTTCACTTATGGATCTTTCTACCCCAATTCAATTACCCAACCGCAACTTTGAACTGCTTTTCAGTTGTTGCCTTAGTACACATTCATAAATACTTCTTCATCACTTTCTTCTACACTTCTTGCTCCAATTTACGTGAACATACATGTCTTGCATAACTCCTATGCATGCTCAGCATCAAGTAGCAATTCTTGAATCACAAAAACAAGTCCTAGAACATTTAAGAAACTAATGATTACATAATACTTTCATAGCAAACGTTTTTAGAATCATAATTAGGGAAATAATTCATAGAATCACAATTATGTTTCTCAGAATCAGAATCAATAATATATTTACAGAACCAAATTATACGTCATATCAGTTAGCATTAAAGAAATGATTTACAATGTACTTGCCTTTTGTTGATTAGAAGTGATAGCACATTGAAAGTTGTTGGTGATACCCCCAAGTCTTGCATTAATAACTCATAGATCACCTCCATAAATTTCTGTATTCTATCTCAACTATGATTGCATTAATAACTCATGTAATCAGAATATCGGATACATATGATTATTAGCATCCCTATCAATTGTAGTTTGAAGCTCACCCTTAAGTGCCTCTATGAGGAAACAACCATCTAACCCAATAATCTTTCTACAACCTTCTTGAAAACCCAATTTCATTACTACAAAGCACACATAGGTCTTTTGAAATTAATGTATATAAACGTTGATTGGTAAATGGTTGTTAGTTGAAAGCTGTTAACAATTAGCTGATTTGGTTAATTAGAGGATATAATTATTTGATAACATTAACTTATTGTAGAAAAGTGTTTGGTAAATTAATTGTTAACTGATAGTTGTTTGGTATAATTTCTTTTTAAAAAAAAAAAAAAAAAAAACTAATTGAAAAAATTATTTTGAGCATCTTTTTGAATTTTAGCATTTTAAAGTTACAAAAAGCTAATTAACCAAATACTTATATTGATTTTTTTAACCAAGTCAAACAATTAATAGTGATCAAATAAATCAAAACTAATCTATAAGTTAATTATTTTACCAAACAAGGCCATAGTACTTTAAGGACTAGTCTATTGTAATCATCACTATGCTTCTAGGATTTGAGTTTAAATATTCTATCTTGTGCATAATCTCTTAATCATTTAAATCCCATCCACGTAACTATGAATACAATTTTTATATTTAAATCCCATCCACGTAAATCGAATAATAAGATATATGAAGAAAATGTCGTCTTCTGTATATGTGTTGAAGAAAATCGAATAAATGTAATATTCCATCGTCATGGCTGACGCCTGCTATATAAACACTACATCTACATGTGAATGTGAATCCCTTTCTTTAATATCTTTTTTCTATTTTATTTAAAAAAAATTTTGGGTATTAATATGATGAAATTATTATAATATATTATAACTAATTAATAAATAAATACATAATAATTAATTAATGCGGAGTAATTATTGTATATTATAACTAATTAATAAATAAATACATAATAATTAATTAATGCGGAGTAATTATTGAAGTCTCAACATAATAATATATAATACGTGGTAATATATTTCTTGCCTTAAAAAGTTAATTAGAACTAATATAACCCGTTAATAATTAGTATCAACTATCAACCATGATTTTTAGATGTTATTTATTACTTATGAATGCTCTAGCATGTTATGAATTACATATCTTTACTATTTTTATTAAATTTAATTGTGAATTTTAAAGATTTTAATATATTATTTTAAAATAACAGGATCCGGGAATAGCTATTATCCTTGTAAGGAAAATAACTCATACTCGGGAAATTTCCAAGTACATTTACAAACAATGAAATACGTTTGTTCTCGAAAATATCATTTCATTTCAGGCCTATTCCACGAATCAAATATGTTGTTAAAGATATAAAAATTGCTCCTCCTACCTTTAACGTAGTTGATTCATTGTTTGACTTAAATGTGGGGATTTAAATCTCAATAAAAACATGTATAGGAGTAAATGACCCGATGATGATGGATTGAATTGGATCCAAAGACTATGATCTAATCCATTGCTGATTACACATTTTGTGAGTTTAGAATTAATGGATGAACTAAGTTTTAAAAATTGTGTTTCTATTTAACCCATTAATCTTAAAAGTTGTGTCCGTGTTTATTTTTATCTTATTATTATATATATCTGTGTGTGGTGTTAAACCGTCAATACCAACTTGTTTACTCAAATTGACAGGTCTATTGGCGCTCTTGCAACTATAAAATGCCACTCCTTACCTGTTTTCCTCGAGACCCGCCCCCAAGAGCACTACACTACTCAATCTTGGCAGGTTTCTGCAATTCTCCAATCTCCCACCTTCTCGGATTCTTTCTTATTCTTGATGGCGTTGTTGTTTGAGTGTACGTGATGGTGATTATACTTGTGCACAGTGTTGGTTCTTGGATCTTAACAGCTAGATATTATTTTGTTTTGGATAGATTAAATACATAAATTACTCCCTTATTATGTTCATGGTTGGCGAAATTGAAGGACATATGCAACTCTAAAGAATTTGTCCCATTGCTTTTAGAACGACTAGGAAATGGTAATGGTTGGAATCTGAATATTTGTTTTCAGTCTCTGTTTTTTGCTTTTTGTAATTCAGTACTCTTACTCGATTCTACATATAATCTTACACTGACTATTGATTATGTCTCAGTCATTATCACTTTAGTATTGTTACTTGACTCTGTGTGATCATTTGGTGGATAAGTTTATAAAGAGGTTCTCTGTTTTAAGAATCAGGAGGGACAAAAAGGATTTTAAGGACAAATGAAAATTTCTATAATATAGCTTTTCTGTTTACTTTTTTATGTTTGTTTTTCAGGCTGAGAATAATTTTTACAGTGCTGGAGTGAGTTATGGTGGAATATGAAAATGGGCAGCTAGATTTCATTGAACACCAACCAAATTATTGCCTAAAATAGGAACACTACTTTGTAGAAGTGAAGCGTTTTTTCATTGTGATCAGCGATGAGTTTTAAGCCTTTAATTTGGTATTGCCGGCCTGTGGCAAATGGGATTTGGGCTCAAGAGACTGATAGTGCTTTTGGTGCTTATACACCTTGTGCCATTGAGTCAGTCGACTTCATTTCTTACTTGGTTCTTTTCGGATTGTGCTTATATCGGATCTGGCTTATTAAGATGGACCATACAGTCAAAAGGTTCTGTTTGAGGGCAAACTGCTATAGCTATATTTTGATCTTCTTAGGCTGCTTATGTGCTGCTGAGCCACTGACCAGATTGGCTATGAGCATTTCGATCTTCAACTTAGATTCTCAGACTGGTCTTGCCCCATTTGAGGTAAATATCTTCTTTAAAACCTGGTATTTAGGTTCTCAGGTGTTTCCAAACATATGTCATATTGATATTGTGATTCTCATTTTATTTTTGTAAAGTACACCCCCCTTTAAAGTCAAATTTATTCACATGGTTTAATATTGAGTTTAATTGGTTGGCTCTGGGTTGGAGACTTGGAGTCAAAGTATCTCTGTCTTTCACTTTCCCAAAAATTTGCCTACTGAAGTGCCTTGGCCTTGTGAAAGTTTAGTTAGCTATTTTGAAGGAACTTATCCTTTTGTGGTTGCTGATTTTCTTTATTCTTGCTTATGTGACCTATTCATGTGAATTGTCAACTTTTTGACCCATGAAGCAGAATATGTCACATGTGTGGGCTTCTTAAAGATAAAAATAATAAATATCTCTTCTTTAACAGCTTAAGCTTTTAGTTAAGGTGGGAAAAATAATTCAATATTCATCACCATTCCAGAGGAAAATTTATCAGCAGTATGATTCACTTAACAATTCAACAGACATTTGATGCAAAGAAATATCACTTTTTGCATTCGAGAGTTGAGTTGTTGAACATATGGCTACATGTCAAGCCAAGATCCTCAAATGTCCACCTATGGAAGAAACTGCACGCGCACACACCCACCAGATACCACTACAAAGACTTGAACTGTGAGCTTCCAGAATTTTGCTGACAGATACTCTCACACACTGCATACTGTCAGGCTTCAAACATTTGGCTTGGCTTCATATACTCTTTTGTTCTTGAAAGTTCAAAAATTATTATTGTATTTTTTATTATATTAAGTTGTCTTACAACAGAATGCTGGATATGCTTTTTCATTTTTGCTTTCTAATTTACTAATAGAGTGTTGTTTCTTGCTTATTAGAGATAGTTTTTACTAATTGAGTGTTGTTTCTTGTTTATAATAGATAGTTTTTACTATACTAATTGAGTGTTGTTTCTTGCTTATAACAGATACTCCGTAGTTTTTACTAATTGAGTGTTGTTTCTTGCTTATAACAGATAGTTTCCTTGGGCTGTCAGATTCTGGCTTGGTCTTCAATTATTATAATGATTGGCATGGAAACTAGAATGTACATTAAAGAGTTTCGGTGGTATATCCGGTTTGGAGTGATCTATGTTTTGGTGGGTGAGGCTGTGATCTTGAACCTCATTATTTCAATGATGGAGTTTTATGCAAGGTTAGTGTTAGACATTATACGTGGTTGGATTATATTTAACATGATATTAGGAATTAATGTGCATATTCTTAGGGATTTAATTCCGATCATTACCTTACTTAATATATATCTTCTTGTATAAATATGTGTATTCTTGAACCTGACATATGTGAAAAACATATGGAGTTCTCTATTCAACATGGTATCTGAGTTCCAGACTAAAGATCTTGGTAGGTATTATTTAGGTGTCGAGGTAATACAGAGTAAGAAATGTATATTTTCTCCCAAAGAAAATATGTACTTGATTTATTGACAAAAACAGGGAAACTGGGAGTTAAGCCATGCCATACTCTGTCCGTCCTGATATCGCTTACTCAGTCAGTATTGTAAATCAGTTTATGGCATCTCCAACTGTTGACCATTGGAGAGCTATTGAACAAATCTTGAACTACTTGAAAGGGGCTCCAGAGCATGGAATTGTATTTAAAAAACATAAGACATATGAAGATTGATGCAGACTATGCAAGGTCTAAAGAAAATCGGAGATCTACAACTGGATTTTGTGTCTTCTTTGGTGGGAACTTGATCTCGTGGAAAAGCAAGAAGTAGAATGTTGTCTTATGGTCAAGTGCAGAGTAGAGTACAGAGCAATGGCACAAGCAATTTGTGAAATCTTGTGGACATATCACATTCTGAATGAAATAGGATTCAAGGCTCCTATTCCTGCGAAGCTAATATGGAGAACAGCCTAATTGGGAGAATTAAAAACGCGCATGTGCATATGGAGCATTATGATGCGTGCATATTAAACATGTCACACCTGCTTAATATTCATAAATCAAAATGCTCCATATGCACACACGCGTTTTTAATTCCCCAAATTAATCGCGTTTTTAATTCCCCAAATTAATCTCATCCATAGATCTATTTTTTTTAATGCACTAGATTGGTTCTCATGGACTCATGGGGAGATTGGTTCTCATAGAAATAATCAAATGAGACAACCTCTTCCTGTGAGACCCTCCATAAATGCACAAAAACTACTACAGGAATGCACATAGACTAGATTGTGTGCAATTCGCTCAGCATGAATGCACACAAAAGCTTGTGTACATTTTTGCGAAGGGTCTCACAGGAAGAGGTGGATGCACTTGAATATTAGTCTATATATATATATATATATATATATATATATATATATATATATATATATATATATATATATATATATATAAGAAGCAAAAGATAATGTTTTCGCCATTAGTTTGTTTGTTTTGTTTTGTTTTGTTTTTTGTTTTTCTTTATTGGATATAGAATTTGAATATTGGTTATATAAAAAAATGTGTTTCATTTCAATATTATCGCATTTAGTTTGACTTAGGGATACTTGGAAAAGTAATTGATTCATTGTTCTTTTTCATGCATTTGCCCATCTTCCATTTTCTTTTTGTTATCATTACCCAACAACTGTATAAGCAATTGTGCCTTTGACAATGCATATTGTTTTGTGCAAGACCAGTGCTGTGTATGTAGTTTGCAAGAAGTACTCATAATTTATTATATTGGTGCAGGTCTGTTTTCTACATGTATTTGAGTTCACTTATGTGCCAGGTATATCATGTTGTTTTCTTCATGCTTGTTTTTTGAGCTTCTTAAATCATTTTCTATTAAAAATCCTCCTCATCCCATAATGGGCCTCCTCTGAACTAGGATTTTACTTGTTTAACTTTGTTAGATCATTATGTACATTGGCACTTTGTGTTGTATAGAAATCACATAAATATGAAATTTACTTTAGTTTTATTGTAGCTATTTTACTTAATCAGCCAATGTATGAAACATAAAGCTTCATGAAACAATGTTTTATGTTCTGCAAATTTTTTGCACACATTCCTATATGCAAAAATGTATTTGCCCATAATCTGAACTACATATGAGTTTTTGCTCCCTCACGTCATGCCTTTACATAAAGGGAAGTAGCCTAGGTTTAGTGGCCAGTGCTCTCCTATTTTCTGTTAGATCTTAAGTTTAAACCTAGTGAACAATGATGTGCTCAGTTCAATAATGTTTCTAGTGCCTAGCATTAATAATTAACTCCAGTACTCAAAATTAACTGCGTACTTGTGAAATTGATTCAAAGTTTCATCAAATTAAAAGAACGAATAGATTTAAAAAAAAAAAACATGAATAGAAATGAATATTAAGAGTTAAAGCCTTCCTTATGTTCCATAATAGAGTAAGATACACTTTTAAGTTTCTTTGCCGCAGGTCCTATTTGGAGCACTACTTCTTTTTCATGTTCCTCATCTAGATCCATATCCTGGTTATATTCCATTGGGGAGTCAGTCTGCTGATGATAATCAGTATGAAGCACTTTTGGGGAAAGACCACATATGTCCTGAGAGACAAGCGAATATATTTTCAAGTATGCTGACTCTTATTCGTTATTTTGGCTGAGCTTTTTCTGTCCTTTTTATAGGATGTTATGGAATGTATTACTAATGATTATGAAAAGTATATATTATATTAGGTAGCCTAGAGATTTATAGGGATTGGAGTAAGTAGTCACATGGAAAATTATTTTCATATTGGAAGTCTTCTAGCATGTATTTATAGGGCTGTGTATTCCCCTTTCTAACACAAATTTATAAACCATCTATTCACTTTCATACAATATATATTTTCTCATTCCTTGATTCTTCATTTTTGCTCCCGCCTAACTGGCCGGTGGTTGTTATTCTCCACCCACCAGACATTTGGATCTTTCAAATTCAACATGGTATCAGAGCCTTTAAGATAATTTTTTTTCGCTCCGTTGTCGTCACCGCCCTCCTGGGGAGGGGAGGAGCACCAGTGTCTTCTGGGTCACTTGAGTCCGTTTGCCTTGGTTCTGGACTTAGTTTGGACCATTGCGTCTTCCGTGACTTCTGCTCTATGGTCAATTTGTCTCGTGCACATTCAGGCTTGAATTATGTATGCATGTGTACTTTGTGATCTGTTTTGTTCGGTTCATTTTGTGTCCATCTGGTGTTTGCCCGTAGTATTGGTGGCGTCCAAGCTTTTGGTTCAGGGGAGGGTCCAATCCAAAGGTTATTCGGTCTACTTTGTATTCACCCGATGTTTGCCCGTGGTATTGGTGGCGGCCAAGCTTCCGATTCAGGGGGAAGGTCTAATCCCAAGCTTGTTCAGACCACTGTGGTGGCGTCCAAAACTTTCGTTTAAGGGGAGTGTCCTAAATGGAATTTGAGTTAGTTTTTTGTATAACAAGTTGGGCATGATTAATATCTATGCTCCAACTTGAGGGGAAGTGTTATGGAATGTACAAGTAATATGGAACCTATATATATTAGGCAGCTTGGAGATATATAGGGATCCTTAAATAACTTATTCCTTCTAATTGTATAACTGATGGTCAAAATAAGGTGCATCCTTCATGTCCTCTAGCATTTGATGATAATGAATTAAGTATCAAAACAATCTACATGGTTCCAAAATAAAGTTAGATGTATTTAGAAATCTCTATAGATATATAAATATAGGTCCTTTTGTACATATTCCATAGACAGAAATACAACTAAACCTTTCCACTTTCACATAGATCAATAACCTCCTTGTCAACAGGTCTCCTCTCTATAGATAATCATCCCGTATTTATTTTTAACTTATATGTCAATTAATTATTTGTAATTTGTTAAACCTACTCCTTTTCGAAACGAGGGTCCTGTTGTTGATAATTGGAATACCTCTTGCTAATGCAGGAATTTATTTTGGATGGATGACTCCACTCATGAAACTAGGCTATAAGAAACCAATCAATGAAAAGGATGTTTGGATGTTGGATACATGGGATCGGTCTGAGACTCTAAGTAGAAAGTTTGTATTGGGCTGTTTCTCTTTCCTTCAATCCTTACTTTTAAAACTATATTATAGTTGTTTAACTCAACTTTATGCTTCAAAACTTTTAGATTCCTAATGTGTTGGATGGAAGAATCTCAGAGGTCAAAACCATGGCTGTTACGTGCATTAAACAATAGTCTTGGAGGCAGGTATAGTTTTCAATACATTGTTTGTGTAATCTCACTGGCTTATGATTCACAAAGCAAGTATGGATAATGTATATACACATCTCTTATTTCTTTTCTATTTTATACAGGTTTTGGTTTGGAGGCCTCTTCAAAGTAAGCTACTAGCTCTTAATGATTTATTTTACTATTCATTTACCATTCTTCTCTCAATTTACTTTGAATTTGTCTGTTGAATAATAGGAAACCCTAGTCCTATTCGTAGTAGTAGGCTTGGTTTCTTGTTATTATTAGGAGTGGGTTTAGCCTAATGTTCCTATATATATAGGATCTCTATATAGTTGAATATACAGAAACACACATACAGACAATCTGTTGTAGTCCTTTATTTTAGTATATTCTTTCTATTCTCTCTTTCTTTTGTTTCTCACATATTTTGTTTCCGCCTTACTAGCAGGTGGTGGCTATTTGCCACCCCCCACACCCAGACCTTTCAATTTCATCATCTATCACCATAGTGAAGGATTTCAAAATTTTTTCTCTTAATTGGATTATTGGTTTGATAAAAAATCTTTAGCACATTTGCCTCCTCAAGTTTATAGCTCTCAATGGGACTACTAAATAATAAAAGTTTTAAACTTGTCAAATACTTATTCTTTGTTGATGAATTTTTTACCAGAAAACTTCAAAGAAATTTCTTGCTTCCAACCTTAGCTCATCATTGTAACAGTTTTGTTACCTTCTTTTTTCTTGCTGTCATTTTAGTTCCGCTGTAATTGATATTAAAAGCTCGCTTTCTGATACTAATTTGAATCCCTACGATAAGGTCAGAGATTACAATGTTTTGTTTCCATATTCATAATGTACTCAATGGTTTCTTCTTATGGAATGATCCTCAGGTAGCCAGTGATCTTTGTCAATTTGTGGGACCAGTTTTACTGAATAAGCTCTTACAGGTAATATTGTACAAAACCGTTGATGGTGTGAATTTTCTTTAATTGTTACTTTTAGTCTATTGCTGATGGATGCCTGTTACATCTGCTCTAAAGCCACTTGAATTTCAATTGAACTACTAAAAAGTTCATGTCTTTCTGTTGTGTGATTATGTTTCCTGTCATGCACATTGTTCTTCTATCAATACACATGAACACACACAATGGCCAAGCTACTTAGGGGCTAGCTAGCTATGAGCTTCTAGGGATGTTAGATAGAGTAACTCTTATTTTAAGAGCTTTTTCTTTTAATCCTGCTTGTGCAAATTAACCACATTATTGAAATATCATCCGAAATTAGTGTAAATCTTTATAACCAACTTGATGTTACTTGCAGTCCCTACAACAAGGTGATCCAGCTTGGGTTGGCTACTTATACGCCTTCTTTATTTTCCTTGGGGTGGTAAGATCTAAATCTTTTCAAACACACTTTGAAAACCCCAAAAATAGTTATGGTTTAGTTACATTTGTATAATATGGATTGCCTTAATTCTTTGTAACCTTCATCTAGGTCTAAGATAGTAAAATGTTCTCTTAAGTTTCACTTTAATTATAATTCATCACATGCTCTGTCTAAGATATGTATATAAAGAAATGAGCTTTTAGTTATATTTTATATGTTTTAATGCTATCATGTGAATAACAAGAAATCTTTAGCATTTTTGTGTGTGTGTGTTGATAATTAAAAGATATGGTATTTAGCAAATAAAGTGTCCCTAATGTGAGCAAAACATGTACCTGAAATGTCAAAAACTAGAAAGGAAACAACAGGATCTTATAAAATGTTGCCGTGCATTTTGGACGTGTTAGAGATTTGAATGGATTGGGTATGTGTTCAGGTGGCATCCCTTGAGTTGTCTAATTGTATATGCTTCTTAATCGGAGGATATTAATTTAATGTAGACAAATCCTTTTGGACTAAGCCACTTTTTCATCCTGTGGTTAAAAAGATGTAGCAGAAATTACATTAATGGACTAGAGACTTAGCCAAGAACAGTAGTATCATCTCTGTATTCAGTTTTAAGTAATACAAGTTAAAGTATTTCAGTGACTTTCTAGTTGAAACTTGATTGGAACTTAATAACCCTATCCCTAACATGTGATCCTGAATTTTTGGTCCAGTCATTAGGAGTGCTATGTGAAGCACAGTACTTTCAGAATTGCATGCGTGTGGGTTTCAGGCTAAGGTCGACTTTGGTAATCATCTTTCTTCTATGAATACATATGCCATCTATTGTTTCAGATCAGTTCTTTTATGTTTTTGCCTGCCATGATCTTTTCCTTGAGTTTGATCTTAGTATTTGATTTTCTCAGAAGTGTCACTGTGTTATGTGCTCACGTCACGGGCAAGAAAACATAAAGGAAAAAGAGCAAATAATTAAACTACCTAAACTAATTTGAAGACTAAGAGTAATAAGTTAAATAACTATTTAGTAATTCTAAATAAATATTTAGTAGTTTCTTAATAACTATTTAGCAGCTTCTAAATATCTAAGCTATGTAATGTAATTTTAATAAAATAAGACTTCCTAAATAATCACACTTCCCAACATGTACCACACTGTTTGTTGGTTAATGTAGGAACAAGCACTGAATAAAAGCTTTAGCGTATCTTGAGTCCTGTTCAGAAGATAGTCTTCAACCAACGATTGGATTTTTATCTAGTGGAGACTACATAATAGAATATAATATAATGGAAGAAAAAATAGAAAACAAAGAATTGAAAATGAATAACAAACTAATTTTAGAGTGAAATACTGAAATAACAAACTACTTCGGAGTACCATCTAAAATGGTAACTGTTGAGATTTGCATAAACATTAATTTGGCTATTTTATTCTGTTCAGGTAAAAAGGATGTATACTCACCCTTTGTTTTTGAAGGCAAAATAGAAGTTTAAGTTCTTTTTCATTGGTATTTCATTAACTTTTTTTTATCAATTATGATCATCAGACCATTCTCGCTTGTCTACCACTAATCTACATTAAAGTACTAATTGCAGGAAAGCTGGTTGTATTCCTTTATTTTTAAGAATGTATGCTGTCAAAATATTCACCTACCTGCTTAACATTTAGGTGGCTGCTGTGTATCGCAAATCCGTAAGGTTAACACATGAGGGTCGCAAGCAGTTCCCATCCGGAAAAATAACAAATATGATTACAACAGATGCTAATGGACTTCAGGTATGCATAAATTATGCTGCATTTATCCCTACTCTCAGTCTCAAAATCTTTTTCAATTTTCCTCCAAATATTGAATTGGGTATGTGCTATGTTTGTAGAAATTTTATTGGGTAGGACCTTGGACAAATATTTTCCATACAAATGAAAATTCACATTCATTTACTGGTCCTTCATTTTTAAAATGCACATTCACTAAGGAGTTCCCTTTTGATTATTCACTAAGGAGCACCATTTTGATGTCATGATTCAAGTTCGAACAACAGGACTGAACCCATTTAAGTTTTAAGGGTTGAGTTCAGTTTCTGAACAGACTCTTAACTTGAAGAACATTACTCCTAGGATATACTTGAAAGCACCAGAATTTTGCTAGTCTTTTGAAAACAAATTAGCATTCATATATGTGTCTGTGTATTTGTTTAAAGACGTTCAATATAATTATGATTTGTACAACTAAGTGCATCGAGTTCTCAAAAAACTGGGAATTACTGTTGAATAGGGATTTGTTGCATTGGATAAATAGCAATGATGATAAATCTCATTATTTCATGTGTGCCTTCTTCTAGGAATCTCTTGAATTCTGCAGCAGCATATAATAGTTATTGTATGGAATTTTGAGAAGATAGCATATGGAACTCATTAAAACAGGATAATATTAATTCTGAAATTTCATGTAAAACATTACTTCATGAATATGCAGTAGAGTCAGCTAATGTGAATCTTAAAATTTTCAGCAAATATGCCAACAACTTCATGTTTTGTGGTCAGCTCCATTTCGAATTACTATTGCCATGGCTCTTCTATACCAGCAATTAGGTGTGGCTTCACTTCTTGGTGCTCTTGTTTTAGTCCTGATGCTCCCTTTACAGGTAAATGTGGCGCTCCTGCCTTTTGAATGAGTAAAATACTATTCAAAAGTTCACTCTCTTTTTATCCTTTTTGGATTTCTATATTTTCTACATTTCTTTCATGATAAAATAAAGCAAGAATCAATTGTAAAATCATAGGAACCACTTAAGAATTATGATTTACATATAATGAAGAAATTCTGAAAATTCTTGCATTGAGCTAATGGAGATTACAGTAGCATATATGCAACCTACTCTAATAAAGGAAAGAACTAATTAGCTTAATGCTTTTCTTAAAATCTGGTAACTGAATCAAGAAACTGATTCGAAGATATTGAAAATCACCCTCAATCTCTCCATTATTCCTAACATATTTTTCTAAAATAAATTCCCTAACTTTAACTCCCTACTATTCAACATTCCCCCCCAAGCTACGGAATATATATCATGTAATCCCAGCTTGCAAATTAAGTGTTCAAAGTTAGGTCTTGGTAGAGCCTTCATGAGGATGTCTGCAGTTTGTTGTTTGGTAGGAATGTAGTAATGTAGTTCAATTAATAGTCTCACTAGTCACCTTCTTTGTAATGAAGCATCGATCAATTTCAATGTGCTTAGTCCTATCATGATGAACAGGATTCTTTGATATGCTAATAGCTGCTTGATTGTCACACATCATTAGAATAGGAGATGAACTCGTCCCAGTTCATTGAGAACTCTTTTTATCCAAATCCCTTCACAATCAACATTTGAGTACATCTCAATGTCACGATTTTCTTTCTTTCTGAAAAATAAGCCTTTCCCTGGTGTCATCTTCAAGTATCTAAGAATTCTATAGACTGCCTCCATGTGTCTCTCTGTAGGGCTGTGCATGAATTGACTTACAACACTCACTGCAAAACTAATATCTGGTCGAGTGTGTGAAAGATAAATCAAGCCTCCAACAAGTCGTTGATACCTCCCCCTATCTACAGGTGCACTTTCGTTTTCAATGCCAAGTTTATTTTGACTGTCCATAGGAGTATCAACCGGCTTACATCCAAGCATGCCGGTCTCCTTGAGAAGATCTAAAATGTATTTCCTTTGAGAAACAATAATGCCTTGCCTTGATCTAGCCACTTCCATCCCAAGGAAATATTTTAGATTTCCAAGATCTTTAACCTCAAATTCTTTTGACAAACACTTCTTCAAATTCTGTAATTCTTCCACATCATTCCTAGATAGAATAATATCATTGACATAGACTATTAGTATAGCAAATTTTCCTGTAAGAGATTTCTTAACAAACAGAGTATGATTAGACTGACCTTGTTTATAGCCAAGCTTCAAAATCACCTTTGTGAATCTATCAAACCAAGCTCGGGGGGATTGTTTAAGGCCATACAAGGACTCCTTGAGTTTGCAAACTTGGTTCTTTGCCATACCTCCTTTGAAACCAGGTGGGATTTCCAAGTAGGATTTCCATGTAGACTTCCTCTTCAAGGTTACCATTTAGAAAATCATTTTTTATGTCCAACTATTGCAAGTACCAATCTTGGTTGACAGCTAATGAGAGAAGAATTATGATAGTGTTAAGTTTTGCAACATGAACAAAAGTCTATTGATAATTGTTAGAAGTTTGTTAGAGGCTTGCTCTCAGCTACCCATTTGAAATTCAAATGAGTGGCTGGTCTTCTATTAGACTGTATACATATATGCTTCTCTGTACAGCTTAGAGTTCATTGAGTGTTCAATACATACATTTCACTACACAGAGTTCTACAATAATCTTATCCCATAGGATTGTGTAAATCCTCTAGCCACCAGCCGAGCCTGGAATCTCTCAATTGTTCCATTTGCTTTATACTTTATGGTGTAAATCCACTTGCAACCCACAGGTCTTTTCCCAATTGGCAAATCAGTAATAATCCATGTTCCATTCTTTTCAAGTGCATCAATCTCATCTTGTACTGCTTTCTTCCATTCTGTATTCTGTAATGCCTCTTGAATTGTGTTGGGAATCTGAATATCAACAAGTGAAGTAAAAAATGCTTTGTAAGATGGCGACAACCACATAAGTAACATAATTCCCAATTGGATGACTTGTACATCTCCTAACACCCTTCCTCAATGCAATTGGCATGTTAGAGTCATCTATACTAGGACTGGGTAATTCTCCACCCCTATCCAAACCCATGTTCTCCTTAAGAGGACTTGAAATTGAGTCAATGCCTTGGCCACATGTTGGCTGTGATCCGTGCTCTAACTCCTGTCTTTTTCTTCCTCCTAATGTAAACTTTATCATTAGCAAGTTGTGAAGCCACAGAAGTAATGCATACGGGGGACTGAGTAGGCACCGAAGAAGAAACATCTAGTGACACGGGAGACTGAATAGGCATCGGAGAAGAGACATCTAGTGGCATAGAAGACTGGATAGGCACAACAGAAGAAACATCAAGTGTGGGCGAGTCTTGTGTAGAATCAATAACCATAGGTTGATAAGGCATGGGTTGAGAAGAATTTAGTGACTCTGAATGGCCAAAGGCTACAGACTCAAGAAAGGACTCCCAAATTTGATGTTCATTCATGCTCTCCCCCTAAACATGAGATTTGGGATAAAATGATATATGTTCAAAGAAAGAGACATCCATAGTGGTGTAAAACTTTTTGGTGGTTAGAGAATAACACTTGTAGTATCCTTTTTTGTGTTGGGGTATAACCTAAGAAAATACACTTATTGGCTCTAGGATCAAATTTGCTACGGTGTTGGGAATACACATGAGCAAATGCCATGCAACCAAGAGATGTCTATTCTTTCATTCAGCCACTCCATTTTGTTGGGGGGTGTTAACACGAGAGCTTATATGGATAATCCCATGACTTTGTAGATAGGTATTGAGACTACTAGTGAAGTAGTCTCTAGCATTGTCTGATTTGAGTATCTGAATCTTAGAGTTATATTGGGTTTGAATCATAAGATTAAAGGTTTGAAAATTTTTCCCAACCTCTGACTTGTCTCTCATAAGAAAAAACCCAAGTTACCCGTGTATGATCGTCAACAAATGTCACAAACCATCGATTGCCAGAAACAGTTTTTATCTGTGAGGGACCCCACACATCACAAGTTACCCGTGTATGATCGTCAACTAAAAGCAGTGGGAGGTTTGTATGGAATTCGAGGATAAACTGTTCTAGTATGCTTGGCAATCTGACAGATTTCACAATGAAAAAATCGAGTTCTATTGGCAAATTGTTTTGGAAACAATTTAGCAAGGTACACAATGCTAGGATGACCAAGAAGATAGTGTAACAATATGATTTCACTTCTTTATTGACACTGGAATTAGACACAGAAGAAGATTCTAACATACTTTGAGATTGGGCACAACTTTCTTGAGAAACTTGATTTGAGGATTGATAACATGAGAAGAGATAGAGCATGGAGCACAAAAGCACTACTGCCAATCATCTTCCCTGATTTCAAGTCCTGAAAAACACACAAGTCTGGATAAAATTTAGTAACACATTGAAGATCACAAGTCAATTTGCTATTGGACAAAAGATTAAAATCCAAGTTTGGAACATGTAGGACAGAGTTCAGATACAACTCTTTAGTAAGTTGAATGGAACCTGTCCCAACAATTTTTGAACTTGAACCATCAGCAATACGAACAAATGAGTGACCACTACTTGGCTTGTAATTTTGGAGAAGAGTAGCATATCCTGTCATGTGATCAAAAGCGCTTGTGTCAACTATCCACAACCTCATTCCTCCTTTGTTAACAGTGAAGGTTGTATGTGAATCCGTTTGAGCCACCATACCAGTCCTAGTAATGCTACCATTGCCATTTGGACTGAATAGTTGTGTCTTGTGATGAAAATAAGAGAGGAATCACTGCCACTGGTTGAAGTTTCTGAACTGCTTCCTGCTTCTGAAGTAGTGATGTTGAAAGTTTGAGATGAGGCCATTCCATATTTTGTCATGGCTTGAGAATTGAGAAAAGTAGGCCAAGAAAAACAATAGCCTGAAGGTACTAACGTTCAGAAACCCAGCTCTAATACCATTAAGAAATTCTGAAAATTCTTGCACTAATGGAGATTACAACAGCATATATACAACCTACTCTAATAAAGAAAAGAACTAAATAGCTTAATTCTTTCCTTAAAATTTGGTAACTGAAAATCAAGAAACTGATTTATAGGAGATACTGAAAATCACCCTCAATCTCTCCATTATTCCTAACATATTTTCCAAAAATAAATTCCCTAACTTTGACTCCCTACTATTCAACATATAAGAAGAGTGAGGGGGTATGATACTTTTGTTCAATGCATGCCTACTGCTGATTTCTTGCCATCTTCAATCTGCTTTCAAGTGTTTCTTATTCTCTTGCACTGATTTGACATGACTCAATTTATTTTATTGATACAGACTTATATTATTAGCAATATGCGAAGACTATCCAAAGAAGGATTGCTTCGCACTGACAAAAGGGTTGGCATTACAAATGAAATTCTGGCTGCCATGGATGCAGTGAAGTATGGTTCTTTTAACTAATGTTACTTGTTTTTTTTTTTTTTTTTTTTTTTTTTTTTTTTTTTTTTTTTAATGTTTTATCTCTTTCGATCATTCACAATGGTCTTGGCTTTGTGCTGAAATATTAGATGTTATGCGTGGGAGAAGAGTTTCCAATCCAAAATTCAGAGCATGAGGAATGATGAACTTTCATGGTTTAGAAAAGCACAAGTTTTGTCAGCAGTATGACTTTCTCAATTTTACAAGATAGTCATAGGCTTCACAGAATACAATTTATTCCATTATCTTTAACTCTGGTTGTGTTCTCTCACTCTACAGTGCAATAATTTCGTATTGAACAGCATCCCAGTTCTCGTGACAGTGATTTCATTTGGAATGTTTACTTTGCTTGGTGGAGATTTGACGCCTGCTAGAGCATTTACATCACTTTCCTTGTTTGCAGTTCTTCGGTTCCCTTTGAACATGCTTCCCAATATAATAACTCAGGTTCTTTTTCTTTTGCTGTCAACTTGTCTTGTTATTTTTATTCAAGGACTTCATTTCCTCTCTGATTTAACTCTCTTTCTCTCAATAGAATCTTCTTTTCTTATATTCAAATGTGTGTGTAGTATTGACACCTTATTTTATTTTATTTTTTTATTACAATAGAATACAATTTTATACAAATGAGAGTGTTACTACATGGCGTGCACAACATTTGTTTGCACGTATCTGCTGTAACTTATCCCACATTCTAAGAGCAGTGTTCAATTTGAAACTAATTATGTCAGGGAACTGATAGAAACTGAAAAGGTGAAGTACCAGTAAGTTTCAGAAAATATGAATCAAATATTGTTATAAACAAATAGCTTATTGTTCTTGAAGTTTTATCATATGTTTTTAGTGGCAATATAGGTATGTGTGCTCAATGTTTACTTCTCCGGAGCTGAAAAGGATTGACTGATAAGTTGGCTAAAATGTCAATTTGACATAGTAAAAATACATACATAATAACTGATGGACTTGAACTCAACATTTTTGTGGCATTGCATGACTATGAGAGTTTTTCCGTGAATTGTTCATGAATTATTGTTAGTGTAAGAGGCTAGTGGACCAAGCTATCATTCAAGATAGTAAAGGGAGCTTAATGGAGAAATATACACTATGTAACCAACTCCAATTAGTGTGGAATTAAGCCTGCACTGAATTGAGTTCATCTAGTTTGCTTTTCCTGCCTGAAGTTCTAAATTTCTTGAAATTTGTAGGCTGTAAATGCTAATGTGTCCGTACAGCGGCTGGAGGAACTTTTCCTTGCTGAAGAGAGAATCCTTTTACCTAATCCACCTCTTCAACCTGGGCTTCCTGCAATCTCAATTAAGGACGGCTACTTTTCATGGGATCCTAAGGTCAATTCTGTCTCTATCTGTTCGTTGTGCAGCTTGGTATATCAAATTGTTTGCAATTTCTCAAGTATTTGGGTGGTATTTAATTGGCGGTTTTAAGTCCATCTTGAAAAACCTTGTCCAGAAATCAAAATAAGATCCCTTAAGATCTTATGTATGTATAACTATTGGAAGCATGTAATAGATTTAACACTTTTTGCTATAAAGTTACTTTCATTCAGACATTTTTTTATGACTATGGCATATTCTCACCAAGAATGAGCTCTAAGAAAAACAAATTGTTTAGAAATCAGTGTCTGGAATATGTTTTCTAGATTACCCCTTTTAAGTTTCCATGTTCTACATTAATATGTGAGTTTTTATATAGTTCAATTGCATTATAAGGAATGGCATGACACTAACCAATATCCTCATATCTTATTTTCTGTTCTTGTCAGGTATATGAGTCTAATCTTTGCAGTTTACAGTGGCTTGCTTTTCTTGGATACTTCATGTCTACTTGATTAATTTAATGAAGGACTGTTAACATGTATATTTTATATTATGATGCTATGTGTATTTGCAATACCCACATCTGTATGCTATATGATATGATTATGTTCCTAGATTTAGGACTTAGTAATAGTATCCCACATCTGTTATTTAACATAGATTAGCTATTGATGTTTATTACTCCGTATATATTCATTCTATTCTCTACATTCTTAAATCACAAGTTATATCAACAGTATTCAGTTCGCACCTACACACACCCTCCTCCATTCCTATCCTTTTGAGTTTTACTGAATTGAGATGATTGGTGCTGGAAAAAAATGGACTATTTTACTGAATTCAAACTCTTTTGTTAAATGTGAACAAAGTTTGTAAAATTCTACTTTTATAGGCGAAGAAGCCCACACTATCAAATATAAATTTGGATATTCCAGTCGGCATGCTAGTTGCTGTTGTAGGTGGGACCGGCGAAGGAAAGACATCTCTAATATCAGCAATGCTTGGGGAGCTTCCTCCATTGGGCAATGCAAATGTTTCCCTTAGAGGAACTGTTGCATATGTTCCTCAAGTTTCGTGGATTTTCAATGCTACTGTGAGTTTTCCAGACCCTCTTAATATTTTCACTAGCCATAATATGTAAGCACTTCCATTCTTGGTGACTGTAAGTAATTCAATTGTCTTAAATTTAAATCCTTTTTGCAGGTACGCAAAAACATATTATTTGGGTCTAGTTTTGAACCAACACGATATTGGAAGGCCATAGATGTCACCGCAATGCATCATGACCTTGACTTACTTCCAGTTAAGTTAGTGGACTCTCAGTAAGTTTTTACAGATATTTAGTTTCCACTCTTCACTAATGTGAGCTTGAAATTTCTAATTTTTCTTACACCTTTTAGGGTCGAGATCTTACAGAGATTGGAGAAAGAGGGGTGAATATTAGTGGAGGACAAAAGCAAAGAGTTTCCATGGCAAGGGCTGTCTACTCAAACTCTGATGTATACATCTTTGATGACCCCTTAAGTGCTCTAGATGCGCATGTTGCCCAACAGGTAGTTATATACCTATTTTTCCTGCTATAAAATAAATAGGCACATTTGTGATTTATTGTGAATAGATATTGTGGGAACAGTAGAGGAAAAGGAAGAAATGATGCTTTATTTCATTGTATATGTCTCTAGTACTCCAGATTACAACCATATATATAGGCATAAAGAAAGGCATATGAAAGGGCATAATAAATGCTGAAAAACTACTTATCTTCTCAAAGCTACAACTTCCTAGAGTAGAGTAAATATGACTGCCTATTTCCAACAGATATGATAAAAAGAATAGAACTTTTCCCGAAGGGTTTTAAAGTACCTATTCATAGGTAATGCACACAATGAAAGATGACCCTTCTGTGAAGGTTTTTACTATGCGTCTTCCTTATGCAAGGCCTTAGCTCCAGAAAATTTAGCTAATATTATCTGGGACTTTCCATTTGGTGTAAGTGGCAAACCATGCAGTAGAGATAAGAGCTGCTGCCTAAGTTTTTTGTGCCATTTGTACCATATTCCATCTTCTAATACTTGAGAATCAAGCTGGAATCTTATAGGAATTTCCATGCTAATAGGAGTTAAAAAGTTGGCAAGCATCAGAACTTCGAAAAGCTAAGCTCTGTGTATATATATGGAAGGGACTCATTTGACTTAAGCTTATTAATTGAGTGAACTCTACACAAATATAATTTGATATGCTGCTCAAAGTGTTTGTTACTAAAAGAGTAATATAGTAATGTAGGAATTATGTCCATAGGTATGAGAATCAATATTTAGTTCATTACCTTATTTAGGGATTCTCTCATGTATATATAGCCATATAGGACCTCATTTTTCCTTGTGATTAATAGAAAGTACCTTTTTCCAATCCTATGTTTACAATGTTTTTTCAGGTTTTCAATAACTGTATAAAAGAAGAGTTGCAAGGGAAGACTAGAGTGCTTATAACAAACCAGCTACATTTTCTTCCTCATGTAGACAGAATTATTCTGGTATGTGACGGTGTGGTTAAAGAGGATGGAACTTTTGAGGAGCTTTACAGAAATGGCACACTTTTTCAAAAGCTAATGGAAAATGCGGGGAAGATGGAGAACTGCAGTGATGCAAGAGATGGAAAAAATAATAGTGAATCTTCACAGACTTCTACTATCGTGGTGCCGGAGCAGCTAAATGATGCAACCTCAATGGCCAAAAGGAAAGAAGGTAAATCTATTCTTGTCAAACAGGAAGAACGGGAGACAGGTGTTGTAAACTGGAATGTGTTAACGAGGTAATACATAATTTATGATTTTAGATTATAAACTTAACTTTTCAATTTGACCTCAATGTTTTTATTGGGTAAAGTTAGTGTGTTTGAGAATTTAACCTACACAACTTTATCTGTAGAAGATGTAACCTTTGTTATAATCCTGGTAATTATAACAACTTAATACAAAAGAAAGGTTCTTTAGGAGACTTGTGCTAGCAACGTAAACTACTTTCCTATTCTGTGTTCTGTATTATAATTACTGTTTTGCCTTCTCTCTCTCTCTCTCTCTCTCTTTTTTTCCAGGTATACAAATGCTTTGGGAGGACTTTGGGTGGTCATGGTATTGTTCTTCTTCTATACTATGACAGAAGTTCTCAGACTACTAAGTAGCACATGGTTAAGTGTGTGGACTGAAAAAAGCACCTCAAAGGACTATGTAGCTGCCTTCTATATCTTAATTTATGCTTTGGTATCATCTACACAGGTATAACTTCTATGCAGCCTGTAACAACTGGCATTAATTGAATATTATGCCGCTAACTGTGTGATAATTGTGAAGCTTGCTGTACTGTAAGCTTCAATAAAGACTGTAATTTTCTGATTCTTTTTCCAACATGTATAGGTGTTAGTATCCTTGGGAAACTCTTTTTGGTTGATCATATCTAGCCTTAATGCCGCTAAACGACTTCATGAATCAATGCTTCATTCTATACTCAGAGCCCCTATGGTATTCTTCCACACTAACCCCATTGGGCGAATCATCAACAGATTTTCAAAAGATCTTGGTGATATTGATCGCAATGTTGCAAGTTCTGTTAATCAGTTTCTCAGCCAAGTATGGCAACTTCTCTCAACTTTTGCACTCATAGGTGCTGTCAGCACTATATCCCTCTGGGCAATAATGCCACTTATGATACTATTTTATGCAGCTTATCTGTATTACCAGGTTGGCCAAACCTTATCCTTTCCTTTTTTTTTTTTTTTTTTTTTTTTTTTTTTTTTTTTTATACTTTTTCCTCTTTTACTCTCAATACATGAAACTTCCAAAACCAAAGAGGGTATATAATTGTATTGGTTGGTGAAAACAAGTAAAACACTTCATCAAACATGTGCCATGCACATATTTCAGTAGTTTTGTTTAAACTTTCTTTTCTTTAGATGATTTGTTTACATATGTAGAGCTATAATTTGCAGAAAATAGAAAAGAGTTGTGCTTGAACTTTCATTATAGTATTTCCAATTGTTAGGTAATATGTGATTTTTGACACTATAGTAAATTAACCACCCAGAACATTCCTGGAAGCCACTAGATGAGCTGCTCCCACTTCAAAATATGAATCTGCATCAAAAAAATTTATTTTTTTCTCATTATCAAGCATGTGCATAAAAAATTAGCTCAATATGTTTTATTTGGACATTGTTATTGGTACTTCTGGTTTTGTTATTGAAAATCTCATGCAAATTTTGTTACTGAATGGATATCATTGTAATCCCTGAACTGCCCCAGTGGAAACAGCTGGCAAGAACCTTTTACTCAATTGTACACAAATTGCAAAATCAAGTGATTTCAAGTTTTTAATCTGTTTACATTACCAGCAATAACCATGCTTTATTATTGAAACTAAAACAAAATATTTTTAGATTAAAAGTAATGATATGGGTTGAAACTACAACAAAATATTTTTAGATTAAAAGTAATGATATGGGTTTTATATGGGGTCGGAGAAACTGACAAAATAAATATGATATATTTTATTGAACTTTTTAATTAATGGTGGTTTTAGACATTAAAGTGATCGGTAATTTATTATTTGATATTAAATTCTCAGTTTTGGAGCCACATTTATGAATAAACCATACTTTTCTTGATTTGCATTTTTTTCATTCCTCTGTGGCTTTGTTGCAACTTTTGTTTGATCAAACACTGCTTTTATATTTCACACTATTAAGCATGCTGCTCTGTCACATCACATCACATCACATCATTTAGTGTACTTTCTTGTGTTTTTGTTATAATTGTATTTCATTGGACTCTGTTGATATAAATTTTTAACTATTTATATATGTTTCACAGAGCACAGCTCGTGAAGTAAAACGTCTGGACTCTATTACTAGGTCTCCTGTATATGCACAGTTTGGAGAAGCTTTAAATGGTTTATCTAGCATCCGTGCATATAAAGCATATGACCGATTGGCAAGCATTAACGGCAAATCTATGGACAACAATGTGAGATTCACTCTTGTTAACATAAGCTCTAATCGCTGGCTAGGCATAAGGCTTGAAACATTGGGAGGTGTCATGGTATGGTTGACAGCAACATTTGCTGTCATGGAGAATGGAAGAGCAGAAAATAAGGTTGCATTTGCTTCTTCAATGGGGTTGCTGCTAAGTTACAGCCTAAATATTACAACTCTGCTCGGTAATGTTTTTAGACAAGCAAGCAGAGCTGAAAATAGTCTAAATGCAGTTGAGCGTGTTGGGACCTATATAGATTTGACATCAGAAGCTCCTGACGTTATAGAGAGCAACCGTCCTCCACCAGGATGGCCTTCATCTGGATTAATCAAGTTTGAGGATGTTGTGCTACGTTACAGATCTGAACTTCCTCCTGTCCTCCATGGCTTGTCCTTCACAATCTCTTCAAGTAAAAAAATTGGAATTGTTGGAAGAACTGGGGCTGGAAAATCCAGCATGATAAATGCATTATTCCGGATTGTAGAACTCCAGAAAGGAAGAATCTTGATTGATGACTATAACATTGCTAGTCTTGGATTGACAGATCTTCGCAGTGCTCTCAGTCTCATACCACAGACTCCAGTTCTTTTCTCAGGTGTGTATGTCTTTTTTGTCATTACGGTTCTGTTTTCTCATATTCTCATGCTTGTTTGCGTTTGTAGTTTGTACTTGCTATGATATGATACTTGTACTTGCTTCAGTAATGGTATATAGAAGCATGCTAGTCTATCATTATCTGGTGCACATATACAAGCATTATATCTTGCTGAATTTCTAAGGTGCACACATATGATCCTCTTGTTCCTTCACCTATTTATGTGTACCTACTACAATTGAGGAAATTGTGCTATATTTATGAGCCTCAGCCCTCAGAAGGTAAATCCAAGCTGAGAGTCTTGCTTTCTTTTGGCTGTATTCACTTAATTGTTACAGTATGTGTCAAGATTAACTGATTAAGTTCCTGCTAAGCTGAGGATATTTAGAGAACAAGTCAGGATTAATTTTCTTATTCTGGGGTTCTTTTTTACTATATGAAGTTATTATTGCTTAAAAACCTGAAATGGTGGGACTGATCTGTCTAAAAAATACTAATATTTTACAGATTGTTAAGTCATTCTCATGACCATTCATTCCTGCTTTTTAGGAACTCTCCGGTTTAATCTTGATCCTTTTAATGAACACAATGATGCTGACCTTTGGGAAGCACTAGAGCGTGCACACTTAAAGGAAGCCATAAGGAGGAATGCTTTTGGTCTTGATGCAGAGGTACGATTTCTTTCTCCCTCTCTCCTTGTTTAGAGTCCCACATTGAAAAAATAAGAGAGAACATATAGGCTTATAAGGCCATGGGTTAGAATAGCTAATTGATTGGATTCAATTTTTTTTAGTGTGGTTTAACCCACAGTCTTTCTTCTCTGGAGCTGTGGTGAATGCTAGTATGGTACATATGATGTATTTATCATATCTCCACAATGAAAGTGATTAGAGAAACCCCTTGACATGATGGTTGGGTTTTGTTGAGATCCCAAACTCCCCAACTCTTCTTACGAAAAATACTGTCTAGAGAATACTCAAAACCAGTTTGAGATCATAAGACTAACATGAAAAAATTCATTCAGACTTCTAGCTAAAAACCAGTTTTTCAGCTTCAAGCTTTCGAAAAGTAATTTGCCCTTTGAATTATGAAACTTGTTGAAATTGATTAATTAATAGCCCTGGCAGGTGTCTAATAGCCACCACCTGCTCCTGCTAGTAAGGCGAAAGCTACGTATATGTTAAACAATAAACTGAATTATATATTTCTATATGTTTTGTGTGTCAATGTACAAGGAAGTATAAGAGTTATTTATATTAGACAAGAACTAATCTTAGCCATAGGTTTCAAATACCTAAAACTAAGGCTAAGAGAGATCCTCTCAACTAACACCCTATTTCTCTAACACTCCCCCTCAAGTTGTAGCATCCAACTTGTTACATATGTATCACATGAACCATAGGACTCCACACCTAGACTCATAAGCCCAAGTCTTGAACCACTCGAACCTTCGAACCACGCTGTGCCAAACCAGTCCACAACGCACCTTGTCGCATCAACAATGCTTCTACGGAGCCAACAAAAGCTAGGCCAATCACCATAGCGCCGCACCTGCCTCTCACTCCCCACACCCTTATCACCGCTGCCTAACACCACAGCGTACCTGCCTCTCACTCCACAAACCCTTAGCACTGCTAGACCACAGTGCACCTGTCCCTCTCACCATGCACCCTTATCAACGCTGCCTAACACTACAGCGTTTCCCTGGTGCATGCACGTAAACTGATTCACTCTGAATCACTCTTCAGCCGTCGGCCTCCCCCGCGGTATGCCAGGTCCACCCCACTCCTGGCACCTGTGCTGCCCACTCCTGCAACACCCCTGTTTACGCACACTGAACAAGCTGCACTTGACTCAACTCAGACCCTAGAATTGCTCCCATACCAAGTTAACTTAAAGCGACAAACTATGATAAACAAAATACAAAGCTCAAGACTTATTAATACGAATACGATAAACAAAAGAAAACTACTGCCTAATTATTCCTCAGCTTCGTGGACCTCAGACCACCCAGCTTCATGGACCTCCCCTACCATCTCTTTTGGTCGTCTCTCTTTCTCGGCTGACACCAGACTGGTGAACAAACAAATCCTCGCTGCCGTCATCGGGGGTTATGAACCCAAACCCCTCACTGAACCACTCGACGCAGCCCTCCATCATCTGCTCACTCTCCTCAGCCATAATAAACAAAACAGACCAACCTGAAAACGCAGCAGTCCAAAACACAGCAGTCCAAAAATACAGCAGTCCAAAACGCAGTAGCCCTTCGCAACACCGGAGTACACCACCACTGCAGACGCGTTGGGTGTTCAGAGACGAGCCCAACAGTACTGGCCGCGACCGGAGAAGACGCCGGAGAACTGCCCACGCGCCCGCGCGTGGCGTCAGAACCCTAGGACTGCGCCGGCACGTGGCGGCGCGTGAGGACTCCGGTGGCCGCTCTGCCTCTCCCGCCGGTGTCGCCTCCTCTTTTTGACCAACACCCACTACCCAGTCACCTCAATCTCACTTTGATACCATGTTAAACAATAAACTGAATTATATATTTCTATATGTTTGTGTGTCAATGTACAAGGAAGTATAAGAGTTATTTATATTAGACAAGAACTAATCTTAGCCATAGGTTTCAAATACCTAAAACTAAGGCTAAGAGAGATCCTCTCAACTAACACCCTATTTCTCTAACAGTATATGAAACCAAACAAAAGAGTTGCTTATAAATGACAATACTAATATTGTGTCCATTATAAAACTAGTGAGAACAAGGGGTATATATAGATACAAGTAGAGCTACAGTTATACTTTCTTATATTTCAACACTTCTCACCAGAGGAAGTCTATTAAGAAAATCCTCGTGAAAGGATGAAAGTAGGAAAAGGGGCAATAATTACTTCTCTACTATGGTGGCTTTGACTGCATGAAGGTTACAGAGGGAGGCGAGAACTTCAGTGTTGGACAGAGGCAGTTATTGAGTCTTGCTCGAGCATTGTTGCGGAGGTCAAAGATCCTTGTTCTTGATGAAGCAACTGCAGCTGTTGATGTTGGAACCGACTCGCTTATACAGAAGACTATAAGAGAAGAATTCAAGTCATGCACTATGCTCATCATTGCTCACCGCCTCAATACAATCATTGACACCAATTGCATTCTCGTGCTTGATGCTGGCCGGGTATGCACTTTTACAATTTCTGTCATTGCTTTTCTTTTTTTTTTTTTTTTTTTTTTTTTATCCCAAAAACTATTAATAGCTTGAGAGACATTAAAAGCTTTAAAAATTGATTAAGGGATCATCTTCTTTAAATTCAGGAATAATTGCACTTTGGTATTAACAAGTATTTAGTATTCTCAACAGGTTTTGGAGTATGATACCCCAGAGAAACTTCTACTGAATGAATCGAGTGCTTTCTCGAAGATGGTTCTTAGCACTGGGGCTGCAAATGCTCAGTATTTACGTAGTTTAGTACTTGATGGGAACAAATCCAAAGAAGCAAATCCCATCTATGTAAATGAGACGGGGAGATTCTTTGTATCTTCCCATTGGACTGACGCTGTACGATTTGCTCTTGCTAAAAACCTTGCTGATTCAATCAAGGAATTTAAAGTGTTGGGGTTTGAAGATGAGAATAGTATTCTTAAGAAAACAGAGGATGCAGTTGTAACACTGCAAGGTGTTTTGGAGGGGAAACATGATGAAGTCATCCAAGAGGTGCTAGATCGCTGTGAGGTCCCTCAACAGAGATGGTGGTCATCTCTCCTAAGAATTATTGAAGGTATTTAAAATTTTAAATTATCTCCCTCCCCCACTTACATGCTGTGTATGCTGACATCACTTCTGGCTAATTGGGTATTCAGTCACTGTTTTTAATTACAGGACATGATTTCCTAGTTGCTATGTTTCAATAAGAAAGGCCATAAAGTGGCCGCGCAGTCTTGTCCCATAAGAGAGGTTGGGAGTTCGAACCTGCAATCTTGACCAGTACTTTGTTTCTTAATTGGGCTGGCCCGGTGAGAACGGGAATTAGTCTGAGTATGGTACGGGCTTCCTACAGTTAGGGCCTGCTTAGGAACCTCGTGGTCTGACCAAAAAAAATAAGAAAGGCCATAAAAAGTGTTGGTTTGTCTCATTTTGAATGCCTGTTAACAGTCACTGATTCCTTCTTATATATACAAATTGTGTTCCAGGTCTTGCTGTAATGAGCAGGTTGGGACATGGAAGATACCAACTTGAAGAAAATGGATTTGCAGAAAGATCAGAAATTTGGAATCATGATGAAGAAATGTAGAACCAAACCACCCCCCCACCCCCCCCCCCCCCCCCCACTTTTTTTTTTTCTCTTTTTTCTTGTCAAAGTCGTGTACTGTATAAGAAGAATTGTACCTAGTTAAATTGATTTTGGTATTATTTTCTCTATGCCAATTGCCAAGAGCCAGGAGGTACTCAATCTCAACATAATAGGGGGAAAATACATTGACTCCTAGGTTAGAGTCAAACTTGATGATTTTCTTACTTTGAGATTTCAAACTGAATACTTGTCAAACTTGATCATCATTGGTTGTGATCGTTTCAGTTTTTATCTTCAGTTACAATTTCACGTTTAATATTAGACTATCAGTTTTTCTATTTAATATCCAAAACTATCATATTTTGGATACTTTTGATCTTTCTAGTAATTTTTTGATGAAACTTCATTTTAAGGAAGGGTGTATTTGACATTTTGACTCAGCACATTTTTTTTTTGGGTTTTGCTTCATATGTGTGCTAGCTTTCTTCATATGTGCACTGATTTTCTTTATCTCGCCAATTTTCCACATCTTAATTATTATTGCTGTCATCATCCTTGAAGTGTCCACCCAACAATCTTAATAAGTTCATATATGGAACCCAATTACCCACCGTGTTATTGATAGATATTGTTATGGAATATATATATTTGATATATAGAATCTTTATATATTAGGCAGTTTAGAGGTTTAGGTAAGTAGAGCATATGAAAACTTGTTTCCTATTTTTAGTCTTCTAACTCATAGGACTTTGTATTCTCTTTTCTATAAGACAGTTTGACAATACATGACAACACATTAGAATACCCTCCCTTTCCTTTCGTAACAGATATGTAACTAGTGCATTTTTGAATAATGATTTTGGTTTTATTGACAGTTAAAATTGTCCTAATTCTTATTATTTGGTCTTATTTTTGTGAATTAAAAAATGTTGGGTGAGAATAGAAAAAACAAGAAATGTTGGGTGAGAATAGACAAAACAAGAAATGTTTGGGTGATTTATGAAGAATTTAAAGTTAGCTTTTAAGAGATAGAAGATATGGATCCAGAATTGAACCCGTTATATTGTTTATCTTGTAATGCATGATCACGCCAGAGCATCTTGAATGAACTATTTAAGTGTTACATTTAAGTTTCAACCTTTACACCTATTTCAAATGCCAACGATTTCCTTCTTCATTGCATGAAATTGGACAAGTTTTTGAGGAAGATTAGCTTGGAAAACATGGATATATATATTTAATTAGCTTGATCATTAGAGACAACAAGTTTTATTTTCATTACTCTTACACTTTTAAATTTCTTTTCTTGAACCTTCTTTGAATGACTTCAGTGGTTAGGTTCTAAATCCATTCTTTCTAACTATGGATTATTGAAGCTTGGTTCATTTTTACAATAGTGAGTTCTTATTGTTCTTAATTTTGTCAATGATTGTAGGTAGTTATCAATTTCTTGTGCTAAATTCCATGATCATTTTAGTATGATTGAGTAGTTGCAATGCTTAATTTGCTAATTAATCAATTGCCATTTGAATTGTTAATTTGTTATGGTTGTTAATTTAATCTAGTGGTGCTTAGTAATGATGATGATATGAACTGTGTGTTGTATTGAATATCAAATGCCAACGATCTCCTTCTTCATTGCATGAAATTGGACACGTTTTTGAGGAAGATTAGCTTGGGAAACATGGATATATATATTTAATTACCTTGATCATTAGAGATAACAAGTTTAATTTTCTTTACTCTTACACTTTTAAATTTCTTTTCTTTAACCTTCTTTGAATGACTTCAGTGGTTAGGTCCTAAATCCATTGTTTCTAACTATGGATTATTGAAGCTTGGTTCATTTTTACATAGTGAGTTCTTATTGTTCTTAATTTTGTCAATGATTGTAGGTATTTATCAATTTCTTGTGCTAAATTCCATGATTATTTTAGTATGATTGAGTAGTTGCAATGCTTAATTTGCTAATTAATCAATTGCCATTTGAATTGTCAATTTGTTATGGTTGTTAATTTAATCTAGTGGTGCTTAGTAATGATGGGGATATGAACTGTGTCTTGTATTGAATATCAAAGTCTGAATATACAAATATAAAGATATGAAATAGAGTCCTAGTCTAACTCAAGTAATATAGTCCTAATACTCTCCCTCAAGCACAAGGTTGTCCTAGTCTAACTCAAGTAATATAGTCCTAATACTCTCCCTCAAGCACAAGGTTGACTAGCCAAAACATTGAGCTTTCCTCGGAGTAAATTAAAATGTACATTGACCTTTGCTCACAGCGCACAAGGAGCCCCACTCACTTTGAGAGGTTGCTCCCACACTATCGCTAGTGAGACTCAATCCTTGGTCATTCTTCCAAACTTTCACCTCAATGCCCAGTTGAGCTACCCATGCTGGCTCTTGACATCTAATTCTTGAATCAATTGATAAGAAGAAAAGGCTAGGGTTTTATCAATTTAGGAGGGAGGGATTGTCGACAGAGAGAGATAGAAAAATATATAGATTTAGGGTTATATTGTTCCAAATAGATAGAATTAGGGTTATTTGGAACAATATGACTATTTATTAGACTTAAATTAGGATTATTATTTATAAATATTATTAATAATACAACCGCTTCGTACAGTAATAAAACTTACACATATTTTAGAATTTGGTTTGCTATATATTCCAGGGCGTATGATTACATATATAATTAGGAAATTATGAGTGTAGTTGTAGACTTGTAGTTTATGTATATACGTACATATATATGTAACTAAGAAAGTATATATGTTAGGAATATGAAACTATTAGGCTCAAATATATAATAATATTCCAAAAATAATATGGATTAGGAGACTATAAATAATCTTGAGGAGAATTTAATAAAATTAGTCACGTACGTACATACGGTCCTCGTACAGTACCCACAAAATATGAGGTATCACACTAATTACCTTAATCATTCCAGAATCTCATGTGTGAGTGTGTGCATAAAGTGCGACTCTAAGCTCTCAAATTGGTTAAATGCCAATTTCCTAAAAGTCTTTAAGAGAAAAGGAAAATTCTATACAAACTCAATCACATTGATAGATAAAAGATAAAATAAAATTATAGAGATGCTAAGATTGGACACAAGTATAAACAGAAATTGTCAAAGTAAAATATTTAAACAAAAATTTGTTGAGCACAAATTTGACAGGCACAAATAGCCCATCCCCCACATTTAAAATACAAATAGCAAGGGGGAAAGTGTATAATGGTTCAGCAAAATAAAATTGACAGGAAGTAATAAAGTAAAAAGAAAAATAAGAGATAAAGGAATTCCTCAAACGAATCTTGCTCAATAGAATTAGCGAGAGCGGTATAGCCATTTTAGAAATGTACTATTGAATAGAAAACATCTAGCTGAGCATGTTGCAAGCTTTAAACATATGTATTCAATGCAGCAAAAGCACAAGAAAAATATATGCGAATGAAAGAAACGCTAAATGGGTAAGCAAACAGAAATAGTAAAAGTCTACCAAAAGATAAAATGTTCAAGATTAGAAAGCAAGAAAAGCATGAAAAATCAATAGTACAGAAAGCAATGAAAATAAGAGTTGTCCAGAAATATCCCCAAATGTCTAAGCTGTAGTCGAACATCAGAATTGGGTGAATCAGAAACTGCGAGAGCCAGGATCACCATACTGATATGGTCCCTTACGAGGGTAGAAATGCTCATGCGGGTATAACGCTGCTCTCGAGCTGGCATGTTGCTCAGGTGGGAAGAAACTGCGGATCTCCACTACTAACGTCTGTAGATTTGCAATTCTTTCAGTCAACTGACTTATCGCCGCGCGTTGGTCCTGTTGTTCAGCCTGTATAATATCCAGTTTGGCCAACAATTGTTTCTGAAAATGAGAAAGCTCTTCCTCAGCTGGATTAGCACCAGAACCTTCAGCTTCATCGAACATCCGCTCCACCTCCTCATCAGTGCTAGCATCCTTAGTTCTTGACGTCCTTGGGCGTTTACCTTTTTTTCCTAGCAGTGATCTCTTCAAAGTATTCCCCAATGCGGTAGGAGTAAGAATTCTAAATGAACCAACAATGGGATTCCCCAATGGTATTTGATACCCGTAGTTCCGAACTATTCTTGTGATGAATGGCCCAACAAAAATTGAAGAGACCTTCGGCTGGAATTGACTACGGAAGAGATGTGCCACCACAACTCCCATGTGAATTGGGACTTGTTTGATGATCCCATATAGACAAAGATAATCCATTGTAGAAACCTTGCTTCCTGATTCCCTACCACAAATGGAGCGTGAAAGAACATATTGGATCACTTTATACTCCTCCTTTGTAAAGGTAATAGTGATATTGTGAGGAACCTGAGAGGCTTTGCGAGATCCTTGGCCAATTGCTATTTCATCCTTGAACTCATTCTCGTTTCTAAGGAAGGTGAGCCTTTCAAAGTTGGCTTCCGGTGAGTAGCCCTGGAATGCATCAAAGTTTAAGAGTCTGCTAAGGTCATCCATTGTGAAATGCATGATCTGGGACCCTAGTTTAAAGGAGATTGCTAGTGCACTTGGGTCATTGAAAAGCCGCTGCACCTTCAACGTGGCCATCACCTCGTGGACCAAATCAATGTGGATATCTTCCTTGAAATCAAATAACATATGCCTCCATTCTGGGCTTACAATTAAGTTATCCACTGCCATATCTAACCCATACGGCTTAAGGGCCTTCAAGTCAATTAGCAACAGAGGTAAGATGGGCTTCTTTTTAAACTGAATGTATCTCTCAGCAAAATCATTCTCAGTGAAATTCAGTTTGTCCGACCCAAACTCGGGTGGGATTGCAGGTGAACTACGTTGAGCTATTTGCGTAGCCCTTCTTGTCTGTAAAACAGATAATACCAGTACAAGCTAATCACAAGACATTGAGTAATAGGACCTAGATAGAATATGATAACATTCAATCCACAACATAGGTAACCTTAACATAATCTCAACAATATAATATATATACTTCAAGGCACTGAATTTGTTCAAAATTACGCATCAAACTAAACAAAGCACAATAGCCTCAATTGAAAACAATGTAACATTCAATGAACTATTCTCTAATGAAAAGATCACTCAACAATAAAAATCACTCATCAATAAAGATCATTCAATGCACCAATCCAAAATTACCCATATAGTTGCCGACGCCACAATAAGAGTAACATTCTAAACAAATTTTAGCACTAATTAGGGAATAAAAAAACATGAACACCATAAATATGAAAAACTAAAAATAAACGTTGCACAAATAATACTCTAACAAAAAAAA